CTAAAATTTGATCAAATTGAGTTTGTTTTAGTTTTTCAATAAGTTGAGTACTAATAAATTTTGCTTTGTAAAGTTGTTCTAAACCAAATTTTGTATAAATTTTGTATATTTGAAGTGAATATCTCTAAATTTTTGCAGATTTGGATTTGTTGAACTTTACTGTTAGTTTATTCCTTATTTTTCGAATAAACTTATTATTAAGTTGGTTTTTGGTCCTTAGTTCACCAATATAGTAGGCTATTTCCAACCTTTGCTTGTTGACACCTTTACATTTTCCAAGTTGTTCAATTTTATAGACAATATTTTTGAAGATTTTATAATCCTTGTAGCCTTCAAAAAGTGAAGTAAATTCAGTATTATTATCAACTTCATGTTGTAAGTCCTTTTTGATTTTATTAATTATTGATTGTTCATTATTTTTATCAGAGGAGCTTTCATCAGAACTATTTTCAGAGTTTTCATCTATGTTCAAATTTTGCTATTCATTAGGTACTCTATTTTGAGTAGTTTTATATTATAAACTTAAAGATGTATTTTCATTATTAGTTCCCAAATTATCCAAAACTTCATTGGTATTTTCTGTAAAAATATTCTAATTATCTAAAAAATTTTATAAAGGATTATAAATTTCATTAATATTTAGAACATCAATTTCATTCCAAAAATTACTCATGATGTAATAGTATAAATATTAAGATTAAAGAAAATTAGAAAAAATAAAAAAAATTTTTAAAAGGAAAAAGAATAATAAAGTTTTTAAGGTATAGGATTTTTGTAAATTTTTTGAAGAGTATAGGCTATATTTATAAAAATTTAAAGAATATGATCTACTGATTATTATTAGTTTGTGGTATGATAATTTGTAATATAGGTAGGTCACTAATTGGTCGATCAAAGTATAATTTTAATCTATTCCCATGTACAGGATCCTTAACTTTTTTACCATCAAATGTTCAAAGTTTATAAACTCCTAATAGTAAAATATTATGGATGATATATGGTCCTATAAATTGTTCCTCTAATTTTGCTAAGAAAATGTTTTTAAGTTGAGATTTTGCAACTAAAACTTT